TGCACCAAGCAATCAACTAACCAAACCTCTACTGAGCTGTAGTGTCTGATGTTTCATGGACAGGAGTAGATAAGAGAGAAAAAAAGAACACAAAAACCTCCCAATAAAAATTCAAAGCTGCCACTTACTCAATGCTGGGGGCAACCTTGCCTTGACCTTGGCTGTCTCCGCCAGCTCCTCCCATTCAATTGTGGTAAACTCTAACCTGCAGTGAGACTTGGGCTGCTATGAAATAATGTGGTTTGGAACATCCCAACTCCACTGCAAATTAGAACATGCATCACTTATGATGGGGTGGGAGGAGCAGATGCTGCTCTACTAGGGCCCAATCCTACACCCATGAGAGCCAACAGGAGTTTTGCCAGTGAATGCAATAGCAGCAGGATTGCGCCCTACGGTAAGGTAGGGGAACCTAATTTACTAGCCACAAGGGCTTGAAATACCTGTGCTGTGCACGGATCTAATCAAACAAACCCAGCCCCAGTCAGTCTTCCTAGAGGATCCGGAGATGGCTTCAGTTGGCCTAAGTGCTGTCAGATGTCATTAGAGCGGAACAAATACTCCATTTCTAGTCACACATCAAAGCTCATTTCCCTTACACCCTGAGCAATGCAGGTTTTCTATTGATTCTGGTGACGCTGGTCTCCAGACGTACACTGAAGGCAAAGCATTCTTCAACATTCAGCCACAGAGCTCTGCATTAACTAAATGTCCAGAGTCTGAAACAAACCCACAAAAACCAGACACGTCAGGACTACAGCGGCAAATGAGTCCAGCCTGACACACTGTGTACTGAGCCGATTCAGGTGTTCCAGGAAAAGGTGGTACTCCCCTTGTTTTTAGCACCTTCCGTCCAAAGAGCTGTGTGCTTTTCACACACTTCAACTTCCCATCCTCCTGGAGAACTCGGCAAGCATCATCTCCATTTTACAGTGAGGGAAACAGAGACTAATACAAGGAGAAAGTGGAAGGATCAGGAATTAAACTCAGAAGTCCTGACCCCTAGAGAATATACCCACATGCCAAGTTCATTTGGGGCCTGATCCAAAGCCCACTGAAGTCATTGAACGTGAGATCAGATCCATACAGCCTTAACTCAGGGCTTGTCTACACTACTGGCCAGGTCAATCCAGCGGGGGGCGGGGGGGATCGATTTATGATGCGATAAAGTGTCGACTCCGGTACTCACCTCAACGAGAAGCACAAGGGGAATCGATGGGAGAGCGTCTCCCGTCGACACACTGCAGTGAAGACACCGCGGTAAGTAGATCTAAGTATGTTGACTTCAGTGGTTTGAGCATTGGCCTGCTAAACCCAGGGTTGTGAGTTCAATCCTTGAGGGGGCCACTTAGGGATCTGGGGCAAAAATCAGTACTTGGTCCTGCTAGTGAAGGCAGGGGGCTGGACTCGATGACCTTTCGAGGTCCCTTCCAGCTCTATGAGATAGGTATAGCTCCATATATACATTATATTCAGCTATGTTATTCACTGAGCAGAAGGTGTGTAATTTAGCTCGATCCCCGCCCGTAGTGTGGACCAGCCCTCAGCCTTTCCTGGCTTGTGTTCATTTAAGGAGCATATCCTCCACACAAGTACACGGCATATCCATTATTAGCTGGGGCTATGGGATTTTGATTGACAATAACCGCTAGAACGTAAACTCTTCAGGACAGGGACTGTACACCACCTGGCTAAATTAGGGCACTAGTGTAATCAAACTAATCCCCGGGCTGGTGGGTTAGTAACATTATTCCCATTTGCCAGATGAGCAGTGACTGCCCACGGCTGCAGGGAGAGGTGATGTCAGAGCCAGGATTAGGACCAGGAGCCCCAGGCTCCTAGTCATAGAATATCAGGGTTGGAAGGGACCTCAGGAGGTATCTAGTCCAACCCCCTACTCAAAGCAGGACCAATCCCCAGACAGATTTTTGCCCCGATCCCTAAATGGCCCCTTCAAGGATTGAACTCACAACCCTGGATTTAGCGGGCCAATGCTCAAACCACTGAGCTATCCCTCCTGGACTAAGAACCCATAAACTTTGCCTCAGTGTCGTCAACCTCAAACTTTCCCTTCCCCTGCAGTTGTGCCGTAAGCTGGCTGGTTGCCATCTTGTATCCCAGAGGTGTTTATATTTCCATGTTTGTGAAGTGCTTTGGGATCCCTTGGGAGGAAGGGCATTCTCCGGAGTATTGCCATGACTTGTACATGTTTGCAGAACACTGAACTGCGCACTGCATCATGGACTTCTTTCCTGAAGGCTCAAGCTCAGCTGGACACGGAAGCAGCTGCGTCCCAGATTTGGCTTCACCTTGACACAAACCTGGAAGCAGATCATAGCCACGTGGATGTGGAAACAGCTGTGACCCAGATGTGTCCACCTCCTAGAGTCTCTGAAGTCTGGAAGGAGTTACCCACACACAGGGCTCTCAGCCCCTTGAGCTGGCTGCCAGTTGTCCTTGCAGAATTCTGGACTGAACCATAAGGTAACTGCCATGAGGTCTCTGAGGGGCATTAATAGTTACACTCGATTCTGAAACCATGACAAGGTCTTTAGCCATCTTGGCCCTTGCATCTTTTGACTCACAGTTGGGTCCAACAGCTAGTCAGACCTTCACCAGAGATTTGACGGACATTGATCTAGCTAAGGAATTTGAATGGATTAATTAACCTTAAAGATGATTCACAAAGGACAATGTGCCGGTATATTTTTTGTGTTCTGCATGATTATAAATCAAAACAAGAGTTTTGTTGTTAATATAGGGGTTTGTTCTTGGATTTTGTTGTTGTTTTGCATTAGAAATCACAGGACTTAACTTCTGTTATTTACTCGAGGACCTGTTGGAGGATTGTTAATTCAGGCTAAGATTTCGTCATGGCTATTTTTTCGTAAAAGTCACGGACAGGTCACAGGCAATAAACAAAAATTCACAGAAGCCCGTGACCTGTCTGTGACTTTTGCTGCTGCGGCTCCATGGTTTCCGAGCTGTGTGACAGCTGCAGGGTGACCATATTTCCCAAAAAGAAAATGGGACATCCCCAGCCGTTCACCCAAGGTGCCCCCCCCCACACACACACGAGGCTGTCATCCCTCACTGGAACCTTGCAGGGGGCCTCCTGTCTCTGCTGTTGCCTGTCGTTGGAACCCTGCCAGGGCCCCACGGGCTGCCAGTTTGAGTCCTGCAGCTCTTGGGACTGAAGCAGAGCATGTCAAAGAGGTCTCTGGCCATCATGGATTCCACGACTCTGTGACAGAGACTCATAGACTTTAAGGTCAGAAGGGACCATTATGATCATCTAGTCTGACCTCCTGCACAACGCAGGCCACAGAATCTCACCCACCCACTCCTGTAACACACCCCTAACCTATGCCTGAGTTATTGAAGTCCTCAAATCGTGGTTTAAAGACCTCAAGGTGCAGAGAATCCTCCAGCAAGTGACCCGTGCCCCACGCTGCAGAGGAAGGCAAAAAACCTCCAGGGCCTCTGCCAATCTGCCCTGGACGTAAACATAGCCTTATTGTTAATGGAGCTGTGAGAGCTGAGTGGTTTTGAAAACCAGGTTGCTTATTTAGGTGCATAAATATGAATTTAGGTGCCTAACTTTAGACACCAAAGTTAGAAAATGTTGGCCTTTGATGCCTCTGTGCCTCAGTTTCCCAATCTGTAAAAAATAAAAAAATTATATTTCACAAGGATATAGGTCAGGGCTGTTATGACATGTCAAATCATTGAGGGGGAATCGAGTTTTAGGTCAAAAACTTTAATTCAGGGTTGGAGTATGAAGCAAAACGAACTAGTAATGCTGACAAGCCATTAAAAAGCCAAGTCTAAAGTGTATCCGTGTGTTGACTGGAAACCCACATCTGTTTGCTAACAGACATGCTGGAAACTCTGATAAGCTTGGAGGGAAGCTCTGGGCTGGAGGGATAAATTCTGGTGGAGGGGGAAGGAGCCAAAGTGGTGTGCTTCAGCAGCCTCTCTGTGCATTCTTTCCCCATTGCCTGAAGGTCTCACAGGATCATCCCTAACCTTATTATGAACTCGTAGTGGGCCCCTTTTTATGCTTAGTTATACAATTCATTCATTTATCTCTATTATTAATTGTTATTATTCTTTCTTGTATTCTAGTAGGCCCAGGAATCCCGGCCATGGGCCCGCATCCCACTGTGGGAGGTACAAACACACGCTCTCGAGGCCACTGAAGATATTTGTCTTTGAAAGGGCATGAATGTCCCTGGCACCTGACAGCAGAAGACACTGCGCTTTTTAAGTAGAAAAGTGACCGGATACAAGGTCTCTGATCTGTTCCCTGGCCTGAGTGTATCATGCCCTATGCACTTGGAAGAGGTCTCAAACACCAAAGTATAGCACCATCTCCTCTAGAATCCACAGAGGCCTGCCTGTCCACAGGCTGTGTGGAGCAGGGGGAGGGGGTACAGCCTGGGGGGCCTCCTTGGCTGGAATGTCTGATCACTTCACAGTCTTTAATGCCCCCCCATTTAATTATCCCCATTGCACAGCTGGGGAACCAAGGCAAGGAGAGGCTAAGTGACATGCCCAAGGTCCCAGGGGAAATCTGTGCCAGAGCAAAGACTTGACTCCAGATCTCCCCTAGCTCCAGCCTGGCCCCTGACCACTGCACCACCCTTCCTCTCCAAATGATTGCAATGTGCGTGTGATACCTACCGCGGCACCGCACATGCTACGGACCAGCGCACACCCTGTCTCTGCCTGAGCCTCCCCCGCGGCAGGAGACCCGGCAGCAGACGCAGAGGGGTGGGGACTGGTTGCGGGCGGTGCCTCTCCGAGAAAACTGGCGCCAATTTTCCGCGCGGGGCCATGTGCGCAGCTGCGCCAGCCGGGGGGCGGGGCTCCCGCGAAAGTTTGATACATTCGGCGCCCGGTGGAACGCGGGGTGACCCGCGGCTGTGCCAACGTTCTAGCGCGCCGGGCTCGCCACGCACGTGTGGGGCCTTCCCCCCGGATCGGGCCGCGCGAGGATGGCTCAGCTCAGGGTGACCGACTTCTTCTCCCACAGTAAAAACCCCGCCCGGGACGGACCGCTGGGCACGAAGCGGAGGAAGACCCGGCCCGCGGGAGGAGTAGCCGGGGAGAAGCGCCGGGCGGCCCGCTCCAAAAGCCGGCCTACCGCAGCCCCGCTAACCCCGCTGAGGATCCCAGCAGGGAGCGGCCATGAGCCCCGGGTGAGCCTCCGAGAAGCCAGCCCGGGAGCAAAGCTGGTCGGATTGGAAAATAACGATAGGGCGGCGGTGAGCACTGCAGCCGGGCTGCCTCCCCTGAGCCCCCAGCAGCAGCTGTTGCTGGCCTCCCCCCACACCCCGGGGCGCCCCGATCCCAGCTCCCCACAACCCCCGGCACGGACACTGACCGGCAGAAAGCGGTGTAGACAGGAACTGGACCCTGAACTGGAAGCGGGGCGAAACGCCGGCCCCCCAGCCAGGCTCCCGCCCCGGGAGCCCAGCAAGAGAGCGGCCAGGAAGAAGCTGGTACTGCCCGCAGATGAAGAACCCCAGGGTACAGAGCAGGAGGCGGTAGGTATCTCCTTGAAGGCCCTTGGCCAGCCAAGACCCACGCGAGACCCCTGGACGGGGGCAGTTTTGGCTCCGCAGATCTGGGTTCCCTTTATAACGGGGCCTCTGCGGGCAGCGCTGGGTCTGAGGCCTGCGAACAGTGGGCGGCCCTGTTGGGACCTTCCGTACCGCGTGTTACTTGCCCGCTGCTGTGCTGCCTGCGAACAGGGCCCTAGCTGCTCCCCTGACCTGCGCTGAAGATCCAGTGATAAAATATCCGCAGGGAAACCATTAACAGCGTGTCTCGTAATGTTGTTCTTGTGCTGACGACTTCACACCCCATTGAAGCAAACGGGGCACATCCCTGCGGGCAACAAACCTGAGCAATGAGTCTGTAAGAAACCCCAATTGCTGGGCTCGTAGGGGTCCTGCTACAGGAAGGAAGGAAGGACTCTTCCCTTGCTGCTCATACTGGTGTTAAGAACATTGGGAGTTCTAGTGTAGACAGGCTGCTGGTATTTTGTGCAACCTGGAGATTCGATCCCCTTCGATAAGGGCAGGGACTCTGTATTAACAGCCTGAGGCAGCTGATGGCCCATCTCTGCCAGGGTTTCGCATGTTGCAAACTTGTTGGAGCAGAACTAGTGTAGGAAATGTTTTGAAAATGCTCCTAGTGTAGACTGACCGGGCCAGGGATGGAATCCCTAATCCCAGGCTGTAATAGCTGGTGCAGGGCTGATGTTACGAAGTGTGTGTTTGGGGGGTGGCGAAGTCAAAGAACAAATGCTGTCTGTTAGTTGCACCACACTGCTCAGACCTGGATTCGCTAGGTATTGAAAATCTGACTTTGACTATAGCTCTAGTTACTTGCTGACACGTAGGTATGGGAAGGTTTATCTCCCACTAAAGCAGGGAGACTCTTTGGCAGTGAAGGCAAAATGTTCTAACAGAACAAATTCGTTGCAGGTTTCCAGCCCCTGCTCCAGTGCTGCCCTCAGACCCCCAACCCCGTCCTCCCTTAACAAGAATGTGAAGAACTTGGTGAATGTGACCCTCTCACCAGGTCCAGAGAGTGGGCTGCAGTCTGGCCTGGCTACACTAGAGGGAAACATAAGCCTTAAGCAGGTATGGAAAGAGCATGAGTTCTCTCTGAGACTGGGAACGGAGCTCTGCTAGTAACTCTGTGCTCTTCTGCTCTCTCACACTCAGAAGTGGCTTGATGGTGCATACAAAACCCCTCACTCTTAGCCCTGCAGCAGTATCTAACTGCATGTTAACACCAAGGGGGAATGGAACACAAGCCGGGTTGGGGTAGAATTCCTACAGAATCCCTTATGAAATCTCTTATCACTAACCCAATTCTGTCATCCTTGAGATGCCAGCATGTGCCTGGTATGTTCAGCAAGTGGGCTGTACCTAGATTGGCCCCCTGCGTGCTAAATAAATGATGGTATAGGAGTATAAGGGACACTTGGAGCTATGCTGACCCTGCAGAAGAACAACCGAGCATTACTTGTAAACAGTCTTCCATCCTAAAAGTCCTGTATCTGTTACCTTCCCACTCCCCCTCCCCATCCCAGGTTTCATCCAAGGAGCTGAAACACCGCCTGCAGAGACTCCAGGAGCTGACTTGGAAAGCCAAACTGCCAGCTTGCCCCTCTGAGACCTGCAGTGACTTGAAAAGCCGCCTGAAACAAGTGCAGGAACTAGAATCCAAAATCCGCAACAGAAAGGCAGAGGAGGGGAAGGGATCTGGACTGCAACCATCCAAAGAGACCTGTGAGCCAACCGCGGAAGCCAGGTGAGAAGCCATTTTTTGGGGATAGCTGGAATCAGAACTTCACCTTTAGTGTGTGTTTAACCTGGTGCTGAAACAAAGTCTGGGACAGTAGACCTGGGGTTCCAGTTAATTGCCATAGTCAGCGATGGTAAAACTAATGCTGCTCTGGGTTTCCTGAAGGGTAATTATGACCCACAAGACAGAGGTAGAATGTAGCCCAAGGCACTTGGGTAGCAAAATGCTGCAGCTCTCCAGTGGTCTCTCAAACATCCATGTTTCTGATGATTAAAATCCAGTAGCTGGGGTTCAGCATAGATGGGATCTTTATACTCCGAGACCAAACATCTCCTGCTTGCCCAGTTCACCCAAGTAAGTGCGCCAGCACTAAATGGCTGAAAATGAGCGGCTACTTTTGAGAACGTCCGCTCCTGGGCACTAACATGGCATTGCAAGAGGGATCCCTGAGAGGTGACCTGCTGCCGCCTACGCTCTGGACAGCAAAAGCAGGTGGGCTTCTCTGTTGAAGCAGAGTGTGCCAATCTGGGGGGGAGACTTCAGCAGGGTCACTTGAGGAAAGCGCTACACAGATGCTATAGTGAACTTGGGATGAAACTCACACATATCTTATTGCTATTCTGATGGCTAAGAAAAGAGACTGGAATACATAGCACAGCCTCAGAATTTGAGCTGGACCTTTTCAGCTCATCCAGTCCATCCCCATCCTGCCAGCACAGGATTGTTCCTTGGAGAACATAGAGGGAAAAGATGGCAGAGGTTGGGGATTGTATGAACGTCAAATCGCCATGGCAGCGCTGACTCAGAGCTTTCTACCACATCTGAAACTGGCAGGCTTTCCTACTGGCCGCCTTTTTGAGTAGCAAACCACCTGCCAGTCTGTTCACACACTTGCTCACAGACACCTGGTGTTAATCTCATGTTGAAGCTACTTGTTGTGGGTCTAATTCCTGGTCACTCTTCCCTTCGATCAGCGAGAGGGCACCTGCCTATCAGCGATTCCACACCCTTGCTCAGGATATTCCCCCAGGTCTCACGCTGCCCTATAAATACAAGGTACTGGCAGAGATGTTCCGCAGCATGGACACCATTGTGGGGATGCTCTTCAATCGCTCTGAGACTGTAACCTTTGCCAAGGTCAAACAGGGTGTCCAAGATCTAATGCACAGGTAAGTTCCTCCTCCTCCTGCCGGCGGGTAGCTCTATAGATGAGGAATTGCTAGAGAGCTGTCGGACTCAGAATTCAGCATTCACTGTAATTGTGCCAGCAGCAGAACAGCTGTGAACTTTTCCAGTCTTGTGCCTCGTACAAAGCAGATGCACAATGAGCAGCATCTAAGAAGGTCAGGATTCAAGTGCACTGGAAGGGCTGGGGCTTTCTTGTGCAGACTTCCCAAGCCTTCACAGAGGGACCTAGAGAAGCCTACAGGGAAGGGTTGCGGGGGAGGGGGTTGCACCTGTTCTGGCTACCTGTGATAAATTCTGGTTGTAACCTTTTCCCTCTAAATGAGGACAGGCTCAGCACAGCTGAGGATTGTGGCATTGCTGGATGTGTCCACGTGGGTGGGGGAGGAGTCTGTGATGCTGGCACAAGGGAAACTTGGCTAGAGCATGTGGAGTGACTCTCACTCCTTCCTGCTCTACCTGCAGTACCCCTTACAAACCGATTTCCCATCCCAGGGGAAAACTTGGACTATCTCCACGTTCGAGAGCAGACCTGAGGCACAGACATTCAATGATTTGCCCAAGGCCACAGAGGAAGCCAATGTCAAGACTGGGATCAGACTTGGAGAGCCCTTGGCTCCCGGACCTGTACTCAGACCACTTCCCAGGACAGAATTTGCTCTGTAACTTGTAGCTTCTCTGTCCCTTGCTGTTGACTCCCATATGTACTGCAGGCAGGGACTCTGACTGCTAGTACCCGCGTGTCACATGGGTGTCACTGATTCCTGGGGCCCCTCATTGCTCTGGTTCCCATCAGGCTGCTGAGTTTAAGCACTTGTTGCTGATGCTCGTTTGTGTCAGCGCCGCTACCTAATTTCTGACTCTTCCTGCAATGCCACAGGCAGTTTGAAGAGAGGAATGTGGGTCAGATCAAAGCCGTGTACCCCACTTCGTACAAATTCCGCCAGGAGAAGAACATCCCAACCTTCAGCAGTTTCTTGAAGAAATCCAGCTACCAGCTCACCGTGGAGCCAGTGCTGGGGGAAGGTATGTGCTGCAGCATACTGTCTGCTCAGAGCCCTTGTGGAGGAGACCTGGCTGGCAGGCTGGACTCAAAGCTCTCTCTCTGATATGATCCCTAGTGGGGCTTGTTGGGAAAGGATGTTTGGGTCTCTGGAAACCTTCCCCAAACGAGTTCACTGTGTCTGACGGAACTGAGACAATCTGACTGGCTGGTTCCCTGAACGTGGGAAGAGTGGGGAGCAGCTCTGACCTGTTCCAGCAGTGGGTCAGGCATGTAAAACTATCGGCTGGTAATGGATCTCTAAGCTGGTCTTTCCCAGGGGTTCCTTTGAAACTCGGCTCAGAACATAACCTGTCGATGGCACTCCCGGTTCTGGCTACACTGGTGCTCTGCATTCATCCAGGTGCTGATCTGTTTATTTCCCTGGGATGCAGCAGCATAGCAGGCGGGGGCGGAGGGCCGGCTCTGAAGCAGATGACCAAGTTCAGCATGACTAGCAGAGAAGGGGCTCTGGTGCCCTGGAGGCTGTTGCAGCAGTGTGATGGCATGTGTCAGATCTGGGGTGCTGCAGCCAGCTCTTCCTGCCAGTCCTTCCCCGTAGCTTTCCCAGTTGCAGGACCTGCAGATAATGAAGGACCATCTCTTGTCTCTAGAGGAGAAGGTAGATGGCCGCCCGCACCTGTCAGCATCGCGCTTGCTGGAACGCAGGAGGGTATTCAGCAGGAACCTGGTGAACGCTGTCAAACAGCATCACAAGGTGAGTGGCTCGGGTTTTTTGGTATCATGGGGAGACTGGTATAGACCACGGGCCATGCAGACTGAGTGAATCTGCCATCTGTGCATGCAGCCATCTGTAACCTTACTATTGTTCGGGGGTGCTGCATTCTCCTGTACTTCGTGAAGCTAAGCAATCGCCTCCTTAAAAATATCTCCAATTCAGAAGCTCCCCATCATGCGATGATGAGACCTGCTCAGTTTTAGGTGAAAGCCAACAAGTGACCCTAAGGGATCTGGGATTCCCCAAGACTCTTTTGATATCTAGAGGCAGAGATAAGAATCCATTTAACAGAGGGGCCTGGGATCCAAAATAAAAGTACATGGTTGGACCACCAAACCGTTCAGTCCGTGGAATCCTAGGCAGGGAGTGGGGAGAGAATCTGAAACATTGAGACAAGGATCGGGATTCTCCTAACGAGAGAGACTGTCCTGGAATCTCCTGGGTCTGGTTTCTCATAGACACATGACACTAAACTCTGCTAAAAGCACAACACTGCAGTGAGGTAATGGCTAGCTCAAGGGTAACACAACCAATCTCTTATTGGGTATCTGACTTGCAGCGTCTGACACAACTCTTTTCACTCCAGACATTCATGGCTTCCCTCAGCCCCCCGATGGTCATACCAGATGACAAGCTGACCAGATGGCACCCTCGCTTCAATGTAGACGAGGTGCCAGACATAATACCCGCTGAGTTGCCCCAGCCCCCTCAGGTGGACAAGCTGACCACGGCGCAGGAGGTGTTGACCAAGGCCCGGAGCATGATGACCCCAAAGGTAAGGGACAGAGCTGCGTAGGCTGGAGTACACGGCACCAGTACTGGATGGTTGTGATGAACTTGTTACGCCCTCTCACATCTACGTGATCATTGGTACTCCTGTGACCCAGTCGCAGTAATACTCAAGCACCCACTCCTCCCTGGGGAGGAAACTCCATGTTAGACTCTTCCCTGCTATTGACCAAAGACCCTGAACTATTAATCGGCAGTTGGGAACCATACCCCTAGCTTCAAGCGTAGGCTCCCTGGATACACCTTGCAGCTCCCCTATGTGACCTCTGACTCTCCTTCGTGTGAACAGATGGAAAAGGCTCTTGCCAACCTGGCTCTAAGAACAGCTGAAACCAGCCCAGGAAAGCATGAGGACCCCAAAGCAACACCCACGGCCAACACCTCCAGTGCCCTGAAAGGGGTGTCCCAGGCCCTGCTAGAGAGGGTGAGTAACTTGGTTGTGACAGCAGAGGGAGTGGCCCCGACAAGGGGGGTCTGGAGGGTGTCTGACCCAACCCCCACTAACTTCCGTTCCCTTAGATCAGAGCAAAGGAGGCTCAGAAACTGCAGGCTCTGATGACCCGGAATCCACAACAGGAGGAGCGGCTTGTCATGATCTCACGGCTGCCAGAGATGGCACGCCTCCTACGCAATGTGTTCGTGGCTGAGAAGAAGCAGGCGCTGACTATGGAGGTGGCATGTACGCGGATGCTCGACAGCTACCGTACCACGATGACATCTGGTAATAGAAGGGGATGGGAGAGGGGTTTTTGCCTCTGGCATGTGAGATTCTAAGATATCTGAAGAGCCTACAGTGAGTTCTGAGTCTCAAAATCCAGCATCTCCTGCCAGCCCAGGAGCAGAGGTATAGCTGAATGCTAGGAAGCACTGAATGGGTACCATAATACCCACTTACCTCTAGGGGTTGCTATGGCTACCATATTCAACTACATTTTTGGTAGCTGAAAAGCTGTCATGGAGTTAGCCATAGTTGGAGGATCCCTATGGACAGAGCCTTTACTTTCTAGTCTCACTTCTAACTCATGCTCCGCTTGCTAGTCTTGCTGGCTTCCTGGAACAGTGTCAATGGAGCAATAGTAAACATTCGTTTTCCTTCAGTGGTCTCCCTAAGACCTATCTTGGTGGAAGCGAAGGGTCTAGTCTTTCTCAGGCAGCTCTATGCTCCCCCAAAATGCCTAGCTGCTGCACCCACCCTAAGACTAGTTTGCCTGTCAATGTAGAAGCTGACACTACTTCATCTGCTTGGTAATGTGAGTTCTGTAGCCTCTTCCCCCAGACATGAGAAACTCTGGGGTAGTCTAAACTCCTAAAATAACTGCTGTAATCTGATGGAGAGAGGTGTGGGAATATTTTTATAGGGCTTCCCTGTGTACCAGCAGTGCCAAGCACAGCTGTGTAATTGATGGCTAAACTCAAAGCCCGGAAGCAATGGCTGGGAGGAATTTCACCTTCATGGTTCTGTGATTTGGGTAGGGAGCAGAAGCCAGAACTGCTGCCCAATGTGTAATACACTGGCTGCCAGCTGGGAGAAGCTGTTTGAAACTAACTTGCTGATCACTTCTGGTTCTCTGCAGGTGAAATGGAGAAACACCTACACCTCTTCTCAGAGTTGCTGCCTGACTGGGTCATCATCCATCCAATCAGGAAAGACACCTACATCAAGCTGGACAAGAGCATGGACCTCAATGTCCTTATGGAGAGACTGACAAGGATGATTAAGGAGGAGGAGAAGCTCTGATTCCTGGGGGGTGGGGGGAGATGGCTGGGGGTGAGACCTTGATTTTAATTAGATGTGCCTCTGAATGTAGCACAGATGGGGCTCTCAAGGTCTTGCAGAGAACTCCCCTTTGGGCTACTTGTGACCTCACTGGTTTCTACCTATGCACAGGAAACCGAGAAGGTAGACAAACCTCTTTGATCTTGGGTTGTTCGTTTGGCACAGTTCTGGGCAACTCCCCTGGCCCGCAAACATGAGGGCTAATATGTTACGTTCACTACTGCATGTAGGAGGTTGCATTTGGCTTTCCTACCTAAATTGCTCCCTTTTTTTAGCTCTCAGTGCTTCGTTACTATGGGCAACTTCGTACAACAAATAAAAGTGCTCGGGCCACAGTGGGAGCAGGGGTGTTTGAGCATCTCTGGCTGGCATGGCCTTAGTTACATAAGCCAGACCCCCCTCTCTGAACAATGATGTCATGTTTAATTCCCTTGAACAAGTTTCCAGTATGACAACTTGCATCCATTTCTTCCATTAGCTGAAGGTGCTGTGGGGGCGGATGGGATCATATGCCATTTCTAGTAAGCGAGAAATAAGAAAAATGGAATTTCCTTTGGAAAAAATAATCCCAGGGGCTCTTTTTAATCTGTTCTGTTTTAGAGAGAGAGAGTGCATCTCAGACTACTCCAGCTCTGACGTGTTCAACTCCATGTACATATTGTTGAAATGTGTTGGTATTAAACTTTTAAATGATTGGCAGTAGCAGTGCTCCCTGCTTTAATGAAAGCTCTTGCCTTAGCCAGTGGGCTGCTTGAGGCTCCCTTAACTCTAGCTGTAGGTGCTGAGGCTTCTCGGCAGCAGAACTTTGTGAATGACCCGTGGAGGGAAGGGTTGGGGTGTCAGCCAATTCAATTCATGCAAAGAGACTTCTTGGAAAAAATGAGCAGGGGTTTGCAGAGAAATGACTGCAGCTTTTGTACATACAGGCATGGCTGAGAGCACAGTTTAGTGTGTGAGGGTCGGTACCTAATCAAAGGTTAGGCCTTCAAGGGAAGGGAACTGCTGACAGTTCTTGGCAACTGCAGCATAATCTAATTAGCACAAATGAAGAATGCTCTGTACCCGCAACTGTTGGTTCATGTACCACTTTTAAAATGTGTTGTGAATTGATAGAACATTAAGCTCCTGTTGATGGAACCTTGCTCTGGATGGTCCATGCTGTAAGTCTGAGGGTGGACCCTAAACCCCTGCGCTTATACATCACTGAGGTGCCATCCAGGTCTGTGGTAGCAAGGGGTTTGTCAGCTCAAAAGGCCTCAGGATATACAAATACTGCTTGGAGGAGTTACCTCACAGGTGCAGGTAAGGAACAAGTCTTCCTTGCCTCAAGTACTAGGACATGAATGTGAGTTACTGCTCGTTTATACCAGAAGTACAAATGGTGACCAGCTCTGTTCTTTACACTGGGTAAACTACAGCCAGGCTGGCCCATCTGATTGAGGGAGCAGATTCAGAAGGTGCCTATTTGCCCCCAGAATGACTGCAGTAGACAGACTGGTAATGCACATGCAGGAGCTAGCATTAGGTAATGACACAAAAGAAGCTGTTGTGTAACAGAACAAAGCCAACTTGCTGCTTTTCACTAAGAGTAGGAAACAGCAGTAATATGTGGCAGATAAATCTGATCACATTTAGTCTGAACTTTGGCACATACACCTCTGTGGGATCTTGAGCAAATCCCTTGTACACCACTGCCACCTCTTGGATTTTAAGGAAAAGACCTACCATCCTAACTCTTCAAGTCACAGGATCAGATGAAAATCTCAGCTTTCACAAGTTTATAGCTCCCAGGTGCAGGGAAAAAAAAGCTGAAAACATGACCTCTAAAGGCTCAAAGGCAAATAAAGAGCATGCTTTTTAGCCACTTGGGGATTAGCAATGTTGCTTCTATCAAAATGGAGATACTCAAACCCTCCCCCAGGGTAAGACTGATGTCCAGTGCTCTATGCTAAGAACCTGAAACAAAGCTAGCTTTCACCTATGCTTATGGGGCTGGCATGGTTCTACTGAAAAAAGTTTTCTTTATAGTGAGATACCTAAGAGGCGTTACCTCTTACTGTAAAATCCTAATGAGAAGGCACTAGTTTTTACCTTGATATAGCAGGTCGAGGGGGAAGAGACAGAGCTGGCCACAACTAGCTACATTAAGGTAAAAACTACAGGGCTATTTTACAATCAAGACAGGTAACTCAAGTTAGCTATCTCAGTATAAAAAACTTGCCCTGAAGCCAGAGAGGGTACAGTCCAAGCCTTGCCTGCGATCAGTTACTGGCACTGCACGGGGCCAGGGCCATGCTTTGGCAGTCAAACAACATATTTGTGACCGTGCTGCAGCTGCTTTCCATGGGTCTTTTGGGTGATTTAATGTGGCACCTGAGCTATTCTCCATGTATAAGGTGCACTTTCAGAAACCTGTGGGGAAGCAACAGTTTCCTTGCCCTGTGCGCCCAAGGAACTGAATAAGTAACTGCCTTTCTTTACCTTGCAGGATTAGATATTAAGTATTACAGTTCTAGGAGGGTGAGATTAGCGAGTCCCAAAGTTGGCTTCTCTAGCATCTTCCAGTGAGAGCTCAAAGGGCAAGGCTGGGGGAAGAATTCAGTAAGACCAGATATGAGGAAGATATGTTAAAGGTTCAGCTCAGCATGTAAAGCAATTGGGCTGGCCCAACTTCCAACCCTTTTGAATTTCACTGAAGTCACAAGATGGCTTGTTTCACTGGATGTTGGTTTCTTGAAGAGAAATGGTCAGAGAAATACACCCCAACTTCATCCTGCTACCAGAATAGTTTTGAGAATTAAAAGATCAATATTTATTTACTAAGCAGCTACAGATTCAATTGAAGACAGCCATTACAAATATTAGTTACAATCCAAAGCATCCTTTCTCATCTATAAGGAGATTTTGGTACCCTGGCTCTGATTTGTAAGTGTTTGTGACAGAGTTGGATGTTATAGCTAGATCACACTGCAATTAGGAGTCTTTTTTCTAAAAATCTGCCTATCAAACTTTGTCCACCATAGTAACTAGAATGCTGTTAATATTAGAGCTCATGCTAAAGCACTCAAAGTGAGCATAGTTCCACTTTCCCTTCCCTTTTTAGGCTGTGCCAATACTGGAGGGTATTTTGGAACAAGGAAGTTGATTGGAAGGGGAGGAGGGAAGACAACAGTATCAACCTAAGCTCTGAGTAACCTTTCAGTTTGTTGGAACCTGAGGCTAAAGGCAGAGTCCAGGGAACTTTACTGTATATATAATAGAAGGGAGCATGTAAAAAGTTGCTCATCCTATCTCATGCATGACATGCTGGGGACTTGTACCCATTTCTTATATTGAACAAGTCACCACTGCTCCATTAGCATTGCAAATTGAAGCATTCCAATGTGTACAGTTCACAAGGTTGACAGAACAGCTGTAACCCAAGCATGTGGATGCAGTAAGAGAGGCCATCGTACAGATGCCCAATACCATGTTAGTCTTCACTGATCTAGAGAAATGGATTCCTTCCACCCAACCACAAGTAAATCTCAAAGCCCTTCCTCATTTCTCACCAAACCTGCAGCTGTAGCAGTACACAGCAAAACCTAACACCAGATTGGAATGATACAAAGGCTTCTAAATGGTATTTTTAGATCGAAGGACAACTTTTTCCCCCACTCAAAACTACCTTCAGCTCTGTCAGTTTCCCCAGAATAAGGGGGCATAAACAGCACAGCAAGTTTAGCAGAATTGAGCTGGAACAAGAGAGGTCTAACTGCCCTTGCTGTAATGGGGAGAAGCTTCCTACCTTCTTTAGAAAACAGGAGGGGTCGGTCTAATGATTCATTTGTACCAACTCTGCATTGCCATCTGCAGTCCCTGCCTTTCCCACATGATTAGCCCATTCCGCTGCCAGGAAGGAACACAAACACACACAGCGTCCCAAAGGAAAGCAGAGAACACTGCATCCAATCTTCTGAAGCCAGATACAATGTTGAACTGTTTTATAATAATTCATTTCCATCTCTGGTATTTCTAATGAGCCTATTACAAAGTCTCAGCATGGTACTGACTATTTTTGGCTGAAAACAAAAGCCAGTACATGGGTCCCACAAAAGGCATCACCTCAGTTCTCCATCTAGTTCACTACTGCCCTTAGCAGCACCATTTACACATTGATCTCTCTAAAAGGAAGTTTTAATCTTTGACTTGGAAAATAAACAGGAGTAGTTATGATATAGCACTTGTTCAATACCTAAACTGAAGTCAAGGTTAGTATTATCGTCTCTCAAGGAAATAATGGAATAAAACACATAGGAACGTATTATCCACAGCTCCCATTCCTCTCACCCAAAAATAGTTAATTGTGCTTGTTGCCTTCAAACAATTGATCAAGATAAGAAACAGCAGCAGATCTTCAGAAGGCAGCCTCAATCAGACCATAGCAACCTTCTCTGATCTGAAGCTCATTAGTCATATTGCAGCAGAGAGTAGACTGGTAAGGGTTTCAGTTTTTCTGCCCCTTTCAGAGATTTTAACTCTATGACCACCACGCATTCTAGGACATCAGCCTTCAGCTTCTTCATCAGCTCACAGGCTGCACACATGGTACCTGCACAACAGGGACATTAAGCAGAGAGACACACAATCACTCCAAGTATTACAGGCAGATAAGGCACACAGTCTTAGTTCCAACTTTAAGCCATCGCTAATCACATGGTTAGAAGCATGCAAGCAGGTAACTTCCGATTTTCAGAAAGTGTCAGACAGCGCATTGCAAAGCCAAGAATGAGACAATGGATTCCTACCTGGCTTTTCCTTTTTTTAAACCAAGCTGAACTCTGGCGGGCCTTAGGGCAGGGATTTCAGGTACTATAGTACAGTAATTCAGACAGACACAGTATAAACCCCAATTGGCTAACTGCTGCATCCCTCTCCCCATAAAGTCACAAGGACACTTTTACAAAGAGATTTTGTCCTCTTCAAAGCAGCTTCAGCAGAGAACACCCTGAGATAGAATGAGCAATGCCAGTTACAGCACAACTACACATGGAGCAGACTTAACTAAGCGACTGCTCTTACCTCCAGTCGCAAGCAGGTCATCAACGAGGACCACTTTCTCTCCCGGTTCCAAGGCATCGCTCTGGATTTCAAGTTCAGCCTGCAGGATTGAAAAGGCAACTTTGTTCTAGTCTCACTTTATAGAGCACTGCTTTTGAAAATGTTAGCGTGTAGCAAAAAGCAGATATCACGTTCATCAGCAATAATGAAATCCTGACTTTCAGCACCTAAATACACAGGCCTCGAGCTAAAGGAGATCTTCAGAGTCCCAATCATGCACACTAACATAGTGTATTCTATTCCTTTTGTTAGATAAACTCTCCCAGAACAGCAGCCCAGATGGGACTGGAACTCCTGTATGTAATACACTGGCCTAAGCATGCATGATCAAGACTCCTATGGTCTTGGTGCAGAAAGTCCTCGGTTTCAGCCCTTTAGTGTCATATATATATATATATATATATATATATATATATATATATATGCAGCTAGCCACGTATGCATCTTTTCTCTGTCCTCCAAGAGAGATGAACCCATTCTACATAAGGACTGATCCATGCGATGCTTATGACTACCACAGAACTTTGTACTATGCAAGGGAAGGCTTGCCTCAATAGTATTCAGCAGCATTAGTTAGCTAGCTGAGGCAGAGTTATCAAGTCTATGCTATATCTCTTCCAAGAAGGGTCAGGCATGAACCCAGCTGCTGTGCAATAATTGTTTCCTGCTTTAAAACCATAAAAAAGAGCATTTAACTGGAGCATTTACTGAAACAAGCAAGAGTGGGAAAAAGTAATGGATATCTTCATGTAACCTTCATTTCCTCCTTTTTTTTCCTCTTTCTTTTCCACTGGCCTTTCTCCAGAAGCACAGGACTTGCTGTCAGTCCTTTAACTAGGTTCCTCTGAAAATCAGCAGCCCTTAGTTTTTATGCTCAGTACTCTTAATAATACATACACTCAGATTCAAGCCACACCTAATAGCTGTCTGAACTAAGTACCTTTTCTCCAAAGATCTCAGAATAGTTTGCAAAATTTTAAGCCTCACACCACCCCTATGGTGTAGGGACTAGTCACTGGGCACAACCAGAATGGAATTTAGAATGCCTGACTCCCAGTGCTGTGTTCTCATCACCAGCCCCAGAAGGGCTACAGTGGCTGTGAAATTCTCTAGCACCAAATATAATTAGATGGGCTTCATCTCACCACCATCCTCATCCCCAAAGTAGCTCAGTGATCTCCACAAACAAGACATTAGCAATTACAGCAGTGTCCACCAAGGGTTCTCTTCTGGCTATTACCTGGCCATATTCAAGAGTGTATGAGACGGATTCTGTGGGACCCGGAAGCTTCCCCTTTTTTCGTATTAACACACAGCCAATCCCTAGTCTCTGTGCCAGAACTGGGCCAAAGAGGAAACCACGAGAATCCAGACCTATGGAAAGCAGAGCAGCAAAAACACTGTTAACAAAGGGAAACCGTTCAGCTTTCACTCTCTCTGCAAATGCTCAGTGTTTCTGTTATCTTCCTGTACTCAGGGAGTCTAGCAGCTATTTGTACTGACTTGCAATCTCACCTACTTTGCATTGTATGTTTGTTCTCACACAAACTTACTATGAAATGCAGCCTGGAACCTGGAGTTCCACGTATCTATGTTAGAAGCTCCCTCTATTAGTTTGTGAACTGGTTCTTATCTGTACTGATAAGAAATTAAGTCTCAATATCAATTCAACTGTAGGGCCAGAAACTCAGTATCACATCAGGATGGGTTTACATGATCACAGCCACTAAGAATTGAATAGAGTCCACTAGACTCACTGACATCGGGTTATTGTCAAATCACCCCTCTTCCATTCAATACTTATTATTCTCCATGTCCTTAAACAATATGTTAGTTGGAAGAGAACAGTTACCTCCACAAGGCACAGCTATAGTTGGTCTGTAGCCAGTCATTCTGAGACAAGCGGAAAATGGAGAAACAGCTTGTGTCTTTGCTATTTATAGAACACTAGACCTGGCTTAAAGGCAAGTTATAGACTAAGGAAGACAGAGTAGTAATTCACTTATATTGGCTAATTCACTGCTTACTGCTATTAAATCTTTTTAAATAAAGGAAATTATTGCCAAATGTTCATCGAGTATGTTCAATGCTCAGAACAGCATGTCAGAAAACTACAGCACAGAAATAAAACAACCATACACTAGTGTTACGTAGTTTGGTACAGAATAAAACGTTATGATAAACAGTCATAATGTTGCAATACCATGATGGTATACCATCTTTCCTGCCTCCTTAAAGGGGTTGGTTCTGACCTTTACTTACCATGCGATCTCTGTATGGATGAACAGTAATGTTCTCTACTGTATTTTATTGAAGTTTCACTAAACATTTATCATGCTACCCACCCGCAATGAAGTCGATCTGTGGATAGTGTGTCCTCACACGATGTTCCAAAATATCAATCACAGTCCTGAAGGCTATAGGATCCTTTAGCAAAGGGGTGATATCACTAAAAACAGAAGAACAAAATGAGTTTTCCCTGGAACCTGAAAGCTACATTACAGAGATCAGAGCCCACAGTTTACCCTCTCCATGTTTAAGAAGCTTGGTTTCCACAAGTGGATTTGAGTCCTCACTCCATTTCCAGGAGTTCATAATAGCTGCAAAAGGGGCTACCTACAAGATCTCTTGAAACAGTGGTTGGACTCAGCACTGAGTGAAGAAATGTTTCCTATAACTAGATAGCTAACAACTGCTGCTAGGATTCCCTAAGCACTTGTATTCTAACCCTTTTTTCAGATGCTCAGAACTTTCCAAAGTGTTCACACTCTAGGCTGAGAATTTTCAGATGGTGACTATTTCTGAGACAGTCTGAGCCAAAACAATTCAGATGTTTTGAAAATACATGTGATGGAAAAATAACTTCTTATAATGAAATTCTTACTTTTTTAATAAAAGAGTTCTAGCATTGACACAGTAATAGAAAAAAAGCTGAAACAGCCCTCATTAAGAAATGCCTTTGTTTGGGCATCTGCAGAGTGTTTTTTTATTTGCTGAGATATAACCCATACATATACCTGACAAAGTGCTCAGATAAGAACACGCTGGGAGAGAGTTTGCCCCTCTCTCCCCTCCCCCCCACAAAGCTACACACCAGTTCAGTTTCACACCACGTGACTTTACTCCCATGTGTAACTGCGGGCAGGACTAAGGCCTAACTTGGCTGCTCACTGACCAAGTGACTGCAGGAGCCTGTGGGTCATGGGCTGTGCCCCTGAGCTCAGCTTCAGCGCACCGGGCAGAGGTGGGCAGAGGCTGCCTGCTGCGGAGCGAGCAGGGCAAAGGCCAGCGCAGACCAAGGACAAACCTAGGCAGGCCAAGTGGGTCTATCCCCAGTGCCAGGGCAGTAGGACTCTGCAGCTGCGCCATCCATGTGCCAGGGCCAAGCTTCACGCTGTGCCCTAGTGTGCATGCTGCACAAGTGTAATTGCACACGTCCTGCCCCCATGTCCCTCCCTCATCGCTCCCAGCCCCCTCACCCCCAACCTCCCTCACCCCC